GAACAGTGCCGGCCTTTGTGATAGACGATTGATGGCAGAGACTCAGAGTTATAGGTGAAGATTGTCTTCGCTCCAGACTTAGACTACAAAGTTTCCCTTGGGTTGGCTGCTTGTCCTCTGCATGTGGGTGGTAGGAGCTTTTCTTATAATTGGGGACTTTAGGGGAACTTTAGGGGACGCTATGAGACACTATGAAACATCATTTTGTTCCTGAAGCATGGAGGGAGAGCAACACACACCTCTCTGGGGCAGCAGTGGGAAGGTGGCTCCCATGTCCTGCCCTCTGCCTCATAGAGACATCAACCCTCAGTGCCCACTACCCCAAGAAGCCAACCAGCCAAACACCAGGACGAGAAGAATGCCTGACAGTAGGTGTCTGCAAATAGCCATTGCGGTAGCTGTCTCCTACCATCTCAGCCTCCCACATTCACATCTCTGAGTCTTCCTCGCTCACACGAGTTCTAGGCTGGCCCAGTAGAACCAGTAGAGTATGGTAGAATAGCATGATGAGTCCCAAGGCTAGGTAAGGAAAAGCCTTACCACTTCTGCCTCAATGATGTAGAATGCCTGTGCTTGTGACAAAGCCTCCATGCTGTTGAGAAGACTGAATGCTCTGGAGAAGCCATGAATGACATCCCAAGTACAGTCTTAGACCTGTAGCCTAGGCAAGACTTCCTCTGGCTTCAGCCCCAGCCACACCTCTATTAGAGGCTACAAGTAGGATCCCAGCTGATTGCTGTGAACTAACTCCCTGAACCATGGAGAAGAAATGATTGATGGTTGTCTGAAGCCACACTCTGTGTGAGGGTAGTTTCTGTATAGCAATTGATGTCTGGAGTATGATGTGTGGCCAGATGACCTAAGTCATGGTGAGGGCCAAGGAAGTAGACTGGTTTTTCCTATCTGAGTTCCAGCTGTACCTCAGCTTTCCATGGCCAAGCTCTCTGGCTTGCGGAAGAGCATAGTTGTGTAGGGTGGCCTCAATAATTAACTAACTCTTAAGGCCAAGAGATGACAAGCCCAGGGGTGGCCAGGGGCAACTCAGTGTGTGAATACTTGCATTTATCTTTGGAGAATGAGACAGTCAGAGCTGGTTTTGAATAGATTGTGAGCTCTCAGAGGCAAAGACTTGTGTCCCCCAGAGCCTAGCTCTTGCCAGGCACACAGAGTTCCTCTGCCACTGAATTAACCTGACTGAATCGAGGCGGGAGGCTCTGTGGGTAGGCCTTCTGGTCTGAGAAATCTTTCAAGAAGTCTTCAGCACAGGCCAAGCCAGGCCAGGTACCCTGCTGTGTCTGCTGCCTCTCCTTGTCACTCAAATGCCCAGGGCTGGCTGGAGTCCTGAAAGTGCGGAAGCCAAGGCCCCTGGCCTCTGGGAGCGCTCACGGTTGACACAGCAGGGGGTTGACAGAATTCCAGTGGTAGGTACTGCCCAAAATGCCACCAGCAAAGACAGCAGAATTAAACAGAGCTGCCAGCCCTGTTCCGCGAGAGGAAGAGTAGGTGGGTTTGTTTAAAATACTCCTATTACAGTCAGTTAACCTTTATGTTCCCTAAATGAAAATTGTATAAACCTGAAATTTTCGTTGATCAGGTTGCCTAGGAACAGGCAGCAGGTTTTCATAAGACAATGCAATAGATTGTCACCGATAGGGCTATTAGAAAGCGAGCTGGTTAGCAGCATTATTCCCTATCCCGGTGTCGTGCTAGGTAATTATCTGTCTGCCTGTGCAGAGCCCACCCACTTTCCTGGGCTGGGGCAAATTCATGCAAATGAGATTTCTCAGTCTGCTTTTATAAGTCCTCTGGGGGCCTGGGAGCCAGTCCCCTGGGGGTCAGTTGCTACCCCCCGACATAGGAGAAAAACCTAGAAGACTCAACATCAACTTACTTCCTTTAATTTTTTTCCTTACTTGCCACAATAATTCCCTAATAACCCCATTGGTGACAGACTTACTGCATTGTCTTAAGAAAACATGGAAAATAAAACTTGGAAAATAAGCTACAGCAGAATGCACAAGGGAAATTGTCAGTCTGTCCTGGGGGCTTGTCCTTGCTTGTTTTTTGCTGTCATTGCTGCTGCTGTTGTTTGGGTTTTTTTGACCAAGTCTAGTGCCCTACCATTTGAGCCACACCTCCACTTCCTTAACAATGGAGAAAAGTTTTAAAGCTACTCTGAGAACTTTGGTCAGTCTGGTTAGTATACACACACACTTGTTTTTTTTCCCCAAAGTCACTTCATTCATTTTGGCCTTCTTACGTGTAGGGTGATCAGACATCCTGGTTTGTCTGGGACTGTGGAGGTTCCCAGTTCCAATGTCTGCTGTCCTCAGGTACTTGCTTTCCTGTGGTATGTAGCATTCACTCAGTGTAGACAGGCCAGACTTAGCTTAACCAATTCATGCCCTTTCGACTTTGAAGATATATAAGGGATATATATGATATATGAAGATACATATATATATATATATATATGTATGTATGTATATATATGCTGGCACATACCCTCATCCATATGTCCTTGCAGTATAAATCATTACAAATAGAATTATTGGGTCAAGGAATGGACTTTCTTCTAGGTTTTGGTATATTGTCAGGTTGCCCATCAGAATACTACATGACATTTCCCACCTCTCCTCATCCCCACAGGAACTCTTACATCAAGCAGTGTGTTCGTCACTGCCAATCTGACAGACAAAAATGTACCTTACTTTGGGGATGTGTTCCTCTTTATGAGCCACTTGTGAACTGCCTGTTCATGTCTTTTACCCATTTCTCTTTCCTGATGCTCAGCTCTTTTAAACTATAAAAACAGACTCCGTGTTTAATCTCAAGTTCCCTGAGAGTCGTGATGCTATAGGTTGAATGGAAGTGGTAGCATCACTAACCTGGAACTTGTAAAGATCCAGCTTCGAAGTTTGCACCTGCAAGGGGTGGCTTCCAGCATGTAACCCAAGCCTCCTGACAGTGACTTTTCTCATCCATGAGACTGAGCTGAGGCTGAATGGCCTGTTTCATGTTTTATATTTTAGTTTAGTTTATATTTTAGTCTTGAATAATGAGCCACTTTATTCATTGTTTATAAGACATTTGGGGTTATCAGTCTTTACAGAGCAAAAATGATCAGTGTTAAAAGAACAAAAGTGCTAGCCTCTGACAGTTCATGCCTGTAATCCTAACTACTCAGGAGGCTGAGATCTGAGAGAATCATTGTTTGAAGCCAGGCAAGGCAGGAAAGTCTGTGAGACTCTTATCTTCAATTATTCACAGAAAAGGCCCGAAATAACACAGTGGCTCAACTAGTAGAATGCTAGCCTATACAAAAGGAGCCCAGGTACAGCACCCATGCCCAGAGTTCAAGTCCCATGACTGGCAAAAAAAAAAAAAAAATCAAACAAACATCAGCAATATCATTGATTAAGGGGGACATTACCTCTTTAATTGAAGTATTTGGGATGAGAGTATCTCTAAAATGAGTAATTTAGGGGTGTGTGTGTGTATCTGTGTGTGCATGCGCACAAAGGTGTATGCGCATATGTGTGTGTGCATGCCAGTGCTAGGCCTAGTCCTGGGTATGGGCATTGTCCCTGAGCTTTTTGTGCTCAAGGCAAAGGCTAATGCTCAACCACTTAAGTCACAGCTCCACTTTCAGGTTTTTGGTGGTTAATTGGAGATAAGAAGATAGCATACTTTCCTGCACAGGCTGACTTCAAACTGTGTGATCCTCAGATCTCAGCCTCCTGAATAGGTAGGATTACAGGCATGTACCACCCGGTGCTTAGCTTAGTAGGTTCTTTTTTAAACCATTTATACTGCATACAATGTGACTTGTTCTTTTGATCTTGGGCACTCAGATCAAGTTACAGTGATGCCCTACGCTGCTGTGGAGTTCAGTGTAGCTTTGGCTCCTATGCCATATGGCCCCAGACTGCATTTTTAGTAAGACAATCGATTCTTCTTCCTATATCAGTATCAGACTGCATTACTGTGGGCTGCTGCAAGCAACCCTGCCTTACCCTGCAACAGCCCATCTTCATCAGCAATGGGATTGACTAACAGCTCACGGTGCCAGTAGATTTGTCTAGAAGAACGACGTGCTGAGCAGGACTGGGTGCCCTAGGCAAATAGCAGAGGCCCTTTAGCAGGCCATGGCGTGCATTCATTTCCTAGGGTTTGTGTTTTGTATTGTTAGGGTTGTTAACTAAATGATTCCTGGATGAAGATGTAAAGTAGGATTAAGACATTTTGAAGGCAGAATGTAAACTAAAAAAGTTAGAAACTGCTTGAAGATAATAGGTGCAAGTGAACACCAGATAGAGGAACAGAATCAGGGTTTAATCTCAAGTTCCCTGAGAATGGTGATCGTATAGACTGAATGGAAATGGTGGAGTCACTAACCTGGAAATTGTAAAGATCTAGCTTAGAAGCTTGCGCCTGCAAGGGGTAGCTGTCAGCATGTTACCCAAGCCTCCTGACGATGACTTTTCTCATCCGTGAGATTGAGCTGAGGCTGAGTGGCCTGTTTTATAAGAGATAGAATCAGATGACCTGATGTGAAGAGCCCCTGGCCTGAAGGAACATCAGAGGGATGTGTATAAAGGGCCACACAATCAGGAGGGATGACGGTTACTGCTGCTCTTACTATTCTTCAGGCACATCTGTAAGCCATGGCTGCCTTCTTTAAAAAAAAAAAAAAAATCTATCAAGCTTTCTATACAAGCTTCCATCTGAGCTCTAGCCTGTATGTGTATCTTTAACTGCCGTCCTTGCTGCCCTTCCAGAACCTAATTTCATCCTTGTAGGTTTTTCCAAAGCAGGATTTGCACGAGTGGTGTGTTTCTTAAATATTTATTTTGCAGGCCATTTACTCGGCATGGCTATTTTTACAGTGAGTAAGGAGCAAGTCTAAAAATAACTTAGCTCATAACCAGATCAGTTCTGCATTTGACATTTACGTGGAATTCATTTGCATCTCATTTGTTGGCCTTTCTGTTTAACAGGTAGAATGTAAGAAAGCTCAGCCGAAAGAAGTCATGTTTCCACCTGGGACCAGAGGCCGGGCCCGGGGGCTGCCTTACACCATGGATGCATTCATGCTTGGTATGGGGATGCTCGGTGAGTCTGGACAGGGGTCAGGGGTCCTGGTGGACAGGGAGGGCTATATGGAGGTCTGTGTGCCCATCAGAGTCACCTGCCACTTATGGGAATAGCAGGAGCCTCAGCTTCCTTGTCTTTGAATGAAGATGACCAGATAGACATATGCATGCATATCATTTTTGTCTGTGCCTGACGTGTTTCTACCCTCTGTTGTTTCCTGTGCACAAGTTGTTCCTTGTGCCTAAGCCCTCTTAGCCCAGTAGGGTTTCTAAGAACTAAAGACTCCTGACTGGTTTCTGTGTGAGCTCACGCTACAATCTTCTAAAACTTGGGAGAGGAGTAGAGGTGGCATGGGTGGGAGGGAATCCTGTCTATTTAAATGATTAACATTTTTCTCTTGGGATATCAAAATTTGCATTTAAATGGATGTTTTAAATAGCCTGTTTTACTCTTTATTTGCAAAAAAAAAAATGATGAAAGACAAAGTGTGTTTGTTCTGACTAAAAATGATCTCTCCTGGCTTTTAGAGAAATTGAGTTGCATATTATATGCCCCTTTCCTTAAAGGTATCTCTGTCCGTCCTGCACAGATAATTGAAAATCTCACCGCCTAAATGGTATGAAAGATGGGGAAAGCAGAGGAGATGCGGAATGGTGTGGGTCGCCACAATAATTAGAAATTTCAAGGCGAGAGAGCAGTATTTTAGTGGAAGTTATTGTGTGTCAGGAAAATACTAATTAAATGGGATAAATGGTAGTTAATGGTAAAATTCCATTCAGGCACATGAGCTGTCTAGTTTTAATGGGTTTTCATTTAGTTTGGCTAAGAGTCCCTCTTCTATATTGTTTGATAAGCTCTTTATATATTTTCAGATTTGCTACTGTTTAAATCATTTCTGGCTTAGTTTTAAATTTATAAAACTTTCGTTGGTCTTACAAAGAATTCTACTTGTCTGTGAAAAATAATAGGGCAGGTAAAGCTGTTTTGAGTTCCTTTAAAAATGGAAAGTGATGCCATTTGAGAATAGTTAAAAATAGCCAAGATATTAATTCCCCACAAATTTATTTTTTCAGGTTTAACAGTTTCCAAGAAAGAAAAAGTATTATTAGAGTTCTTTGAAAACTTTCCAGATGATTCTAAAACTTACCTAGAAGAAGAAACATGTGGGAATAAATAAGAAAATATATTCTTAAAAAGAGAAAGGAGGGGCTGGGATAGTGGCTCAGTGGTAGAGTGCTTGCCTCGCATGCATGAGTTCCTGGGTTTGATTCCTCAGCACCACTAAGCAGAAAAAGCCAGAACTGGCACTGTGGCTCAAGTGGTGAGCACTAGCCTTGAGTTGAAGAGCTGAGGACAGCACCTAGGCCCAGAGTTCAAGCCCTAGGACCAGTCAAAAAAAAGAGAGAGAAAACACTGGCCAAATACCAGAACATAGCTCAAAGCTGCAGTCATAAAAACAGTATGTTATACAAGGCTGTCCTCACCTTACAATAGGTCAACTTAACAAATTTTCTACTTTTACACTGGTGAGAATGCAGTGTAGATTCACTTGAGTGCTGGCTATACATGGTCCCATATTCTCTAAAGGTGCTAGGTGGTAGTGGTGAGCCATAGCACCCACTTAGCCCCTCTTAGGAGAGTGACTCCACTGCACACTGTATTGTGAAGCTGTGGTGTTCTGTGGGCTAGATATGGTTTTGTTGCTGTTTTGTTGTTTTAGTCAGTCATGGGGCTTGAACTCTGGGCCTGAGCACTGTCCCTGAGCTTTTCAGCTCAGGGTGAGCTCTCTACCACTTGAGCCATGGTGCCACTTCCAGTTTTCAAATGGCTAATTGCAGGTAAGAGTCTCATGGACTTTCTTGCCTGGGCTGGCTTTGAACCATAATCCTCAGATCTCAGCCTCCTGAGTAGGTAGGATTATAGGCGTGAGCCACTGGCACCCAGCTTAGATGTGTTTTATATATAAACAGAGTATTAGGGTTTGAACTCAAAGCCCTTGTGCTTGTTAGGCAGGTGCTCTAGCCACTGAACCATGCTTCCAACCATTTCTTTGGTTATTTTTGAGATAGGGTCTTACTTCCTGCCCAAGCACACATGTAGACTGTTGACTTCCCACCATAGCTAGGATGAATATGTACCACTACACCCAGTTTCTTAACACTGAGATGGGTCTCACAGGCTTTTCTATTCAGAGATCTTCCCATGCCTGTGCTCTCATTAACTTAGAATGATAGGCACATTCCAACATGGCCAGCTATTGGTTCAAAAGGGCGCCTTCTGTATACCCAGGCTTGCCTCACTCTTGGGTCCTCCTGATCTTGAACTCCCAAGTAGCAAGAATTACAGATGTGAGCCATCAGCACCCAGCTTTAACTTAAAACACTTTTGGCTTATTAACATATCAGGTCATAATCTTAAGTGTTAGAATTATATGCAGGAATATATACTTATTGATAGAAGATGTTAAAGAACCCCAAGTACTCCTACATAAAAGTATAATTATTAAGATGGTATTTGAAATCAGTGAGAATGATTTCCTAATTATTGGGAGACAGTTGCTTAGGTCTTGCTTTAAAAATGTTCATTTTTATTTGATTTGATATTATATCTCAAAATGAACTTTGATAATTTCAAATTGATGGTTTTAAATGTTGAAATCAAACGTAGAAGACTTGAGCCAGCCAGGTGCTGATGGCTCACACCTGTAATCCTAGCTACTCAGAAGGCTGAGATCTGAAGATCAAGGTTCCAGAAAGTCTGTGAGACTCTCATCTCCAATTAACTACCAAAAACTGGAAGTGACACTGTGGCTTCAAGTGGTGAGATGCTAGCCTTGAGCAAAAAGAACTCAGGGACAGCACCCCACAACTGACAAAAAAAAAAAAAACGGGGAGAGGTTAGCCACTTGTTGGCTTTTGCAGTTGAGAATTGAAATTGAGTAGAGAGGCTCTGGGCATCAATGAGGGCCTGTCTGGAATCCAGATATACAGGAAGCGCTCACCTTCCTGAGCCCACCTCAACAGCCCCCCTAACCTGGGAAGAATGCACTGGTTGTACAGTGGGGAAAAGCAGAAGTTTCAGTCAAGAACAAAAACACTTCCCATATTCATCATTCCGGACTCCACAGACAGCCAGGCCTGGGTTCCCCAAATACAAGGGCTTCCAGGACTTTCCTCATGGGACCCATAGCAGGGAGAGGGGAAGAGGGTATTCATAGCAATATCCTTTGGCTTCTACTATGTATCCCTGCCCTCGGGGAGCTCATGGTATAAGGAAAGAGATACACACACCACAGCTCATCTCCAGGAGGCCTGGCTCATCCTCACAGCCCAGGGTTGCTGTAAGAGCATGCAAGGAAGGGTGGAGGGGAGTCTAGGAAGCTGGTGGTGATATTTGGGCTAGGCTGGAATGGATGAGTAAGCCCAGGGCCTTTCACTTCATGGAGTAGCCTTTTGGGACATGAGGATCCTGAAGTGGAACCTCAGACTAAGGACATGAGTAGTGGCTGGGGACCTCAAGGGTTAGCTGGGCCTTCAGTAAGTGGGCAGCCCTAGTGGCCTCATCCTGAGAGCACCTACAGAGGTGATGGACACAGTCCCTGGGCTTCTGCAGATGCCATCTGAGTCTCCCACTTGCTCAGAAATGACTGTGATGAATGCCAGATGCTTAGTCACCTGCCCTGATTCTTTCCTGCGTGTTTCAAGTCGTCTTTCCTGAGCCATGGTAAAGTAGTGTTAGTTAAAAATAGCACTGTATCCTAGAGCTCCTCTGTGCCTGCTCTATACTCTCCCTAGCCCTTCTACCTCCACTCTGCTGCTTAACTCTGCTTTAACTCTGTTGAACCCCCAGTCCTGCCCCAGCCCACGCCTGGTTAACAGTCTCAACCAAGCAGAGAGCTATTCCTATGGAATTGATCGTATCAGCCCTAGCCTAAACAGAGCTCTGAGGGGCCGTGTAGCTCAGGGGGACAAGCTCAGGACTTTGGAAGCAAGAGATCTGGACTCCTTATCCCTGACAGCTGTGCAACTTGGAAGAAGTGGCTTGGCCTCTCTGGTCTTCATTTACCACCACCCATGAGAGGGACAATCACCTCACTGTATGGAGTTGTTGCAGAAGAGAAACTGAATCTTAACTGTCAAATGCTGTATTTCTTGAATTTTAGATGCCCTGCCTAGCGAGGTAAATCTTCATATACCATTCAGAAAGGGGAGAAAATGATGAGTGAACTGCCTGGTGCTGTCCTACCACACTGCCTGGGAGATGGGTCTCATTTACAGAAATGTTAAAATGTAAGGGAGAAGAACATTTCTTCACATCCCTAAGGTGCAGTTGTATGGGAGCTGTTACAAGTCAGGTACTGGAGGGCTTTGGGCACATTACTACAAGAGCAGGTGGCTGACGCCCTTCCCCCTTGGAAGTCAGCTTCTGCCTAGCAAGACCCACAGGTGTGACATGTGTCGTGGCAATGGTGGTGTCTTCTCAGCCCCAGCCTCGAGAGTCTGATGAGCCGCTGCAGCGCCTTACTTCAAGACAAGGACCTATGTGGTGGCTCCAGTCTTCTGCAGCCCAGGTCTCCTGAATCTCCCAGCCGCTGTGCTAAGGCCATCTGATGTCTGCTGAGTAAGGTCTCCCAAGAGATCCTGGCTAGGAACCTGCTTAGCTGAAGTCTGGGGAGAAGGGATGTCACGCAGAGTATCTAGGAAGCAAGCTCACTGTCTCACGGTCTGCTGGGCCTGTCGCCTCCCCGTCAGGCCACCAGCTCCCAGTAGCCTCTCCGACACACTCACTGCAGACTCCCTAAGGCTGCCCTCATGTCACCTAATGGTGCAGCTCAGCACTTGAGGCTTAGGTTCTTTTAGGTGAGGACCCTGCCATCTGTACTGCCGAGTATTTATTGAGTATGTACTAAAGGCCTGGCAGGCGCCCATCTAAAATACGGAATGTGCCACAGAGAACAAATGCTCTGATCTCAGGGAAATAATGTCCATTTGGGAGCCTGCGTGCTGGCCTATGAATGA